AGCAGCAGCAGCAGCAGCAGCAGCAGAAGCAACAGCCACAAAAGGGAAACTGACAGGAGCGTACCCACCCCTGAGAACCCGCATTCCTGCCCACAGGCTCAGGACCGAGCTCTGCAGTGCAGCAAGCAGCGCGGCTTTGCTGCAGGGTCTGCCCGAGGGAAGCGAGCCTGGGTGCGCTGACCCCATTCTCATTAGCTGCTCCGGGTCTCTTCCCCGAGCTTTGCAGACTTACTTTTGCAGGTCTGATTGAGGGCGGAGCCGAAGTGACCTGGTTTGCAGAGCTGGCCGTTTGGGCCCTGGGTATTGTGCAGACATTGAAGGCAGTGGCCTGTCACCCGGCTGCCGGACTCTGGGTCAGTTACGTCTATGTTGTTGTTGCAGACACACGGCTGGCAAGGGGCCCCAGGAACTTGTGGATTACCATAGAAACCAGGGGCGCATTCCCCACACTGAGTACCTGCAAAAGGGATGAGATGAGTATGAGCGCGGGGGTGGGGGGAACAGACGGGAACTGAGGGATTGAGCTGCACTAGGGATAACGTAAGACATATTTGAGGGAGAGTAAGGGAAAATACCGTAAATTAAACAAAACATAAACTTTTATTTATTATTCAGTTAGGGAACAAAAAAGGTTTTTCAGAGCTAAAATGTCTTTGTGAAGAATGGGCTTTGGTCTTTCTTCAAAAGCTAAAGAGTTGGGGGCACAGGACTCGTAGGTCCTTGTACAACCGCAGTTACTCGCCTGCGTTCCAGGACCCGAGTCTGCTCAGCCCCTGTCCTCCGGAGCACCTAGAGGTGAGCTGTGACAGCAAAGGGAATGTGACAAACAGCAACAGCCCGAGAGAGGTGTCAGGAGTGAAGGCGGGCAGGAGCACCTTTCCACGCGTGAGCCCTCGGGGTGCATCTACCGAGCCCTGTGTGGACTCCCCGTCTTTCTCTCCAACACCCCCAGGTAACTGTGCCCGGGTGCCCCAACCGTGGGTCTTCTCTTTACGTTTCGGTTCCACCACCCAGAAATGCTGTAAGCCCTAAGATAGTCTCAGTCTTAAAAACTGCCATCAAGCCCAACCGTGCTTAGAGAAGCAGAAGAATCAGCTAAAGCCACATGTAACCCCAGATGTAACAATCAAGAAAAATCAAGCACATTATTTGTTATGAAGACGATAAATATCATCAAAGAAAATAATATTACCATGTTTTCTAAGTGGGACAGAATCAAGTGGACTTTGTAAGTTTTCTTATTTGTGTTATATATTCATACTCACCCTTAAGCTTTTTAAAATAAATTTTGTAATGGAGCAGTATACATAAATTTGGAACCAAAGCTTACACAGTATCTGCATAATACCCAAAGTAATGCTTCAAGACACTGAAAAAATTAGCTGTATCTGCAAATTATCAGTTAAACTGATTACTTGGAATAATACATGGAAAACTTTTGGCTAACTAAATTTGTACTTTAAAATTTTTATATAATGTATTATATATAATATATACACTATTCAGCCATATATGTGTATCTATATGTCTTATTTAGCATGTGATGGTTATATTTTAAATAAAGTAATGTGATGTGATCTCATTTGGTCTGTTTTTCTAAAACAGTATTTAAAAACAATTGCAGCTCAGTGGAATTGAGTGAATGTCAATCACATTCTTCCTTCTGGAAGACAGCATGTCAGCAAATTATGCCTCCTTTCCTTAACAGGCTCTGCTCCACTCACGTGTGCCTGCAGGTACATTATGAACACGTGACTGGCCGTACCTGTATAACCCAGCAGACAGCTGCAGGTTATATCTGAGCTCCCGGGATTCTGATGACACGAATGGGCAAAGTACTGATTGCTCGAGGGAACATCTGGACACTGGCAAGGACGACAGGACTGTCCTAAAGAAGGGTTTCCATAGTAACCATCGACACACCTGTCAAGGCAATTTCCTTTTACCAAGTGTTCCTGGGAAAATCTCATATGTTAGTCAACATGGATTTGCTATGCTTTAAGACAACGTGACTTTCAAAGCTTGATGTTTTAGAAGATGCTTACTTTTCTCTGTGAAAGAATTTTTGTTTTATAGTGAAAACCTCTTGGTAGAGTCATTGAGCTTTATGATTTACATGTCACCTTTAAGACATACAAAAGTAATGGGCCAGGAAAATGTATCATTCACTGAATCATTTTCGGCTCACAAGATGATTTTAGAGGGTGATGGAACTGTGACTTTCTGCATCCATGCTAGTTGTTCCACACATACTGTTGAGTCTTCCATTGAGACATCAGAATAAAACTGTAAAGATCTAAAAATTAAAGTGCACGTGAATTCCACACCTTTCACAGTTTCTTCCGGTTGTAAAGCCCCTGCATTCGAAGCACGACCTTGTCTCTGGATCGCAAAGTTCAGCAAACCCATTACAAGGGCAAGGGTGACAGCTGGGAAATCCAAAGTAGCCTGCCAGACACTGATCGCAGTGGCAGCCGGCCACCTCTCCCTGGCAGGGGCACTGACCGGTTATTTGGTCACACACCATGTTCTCTGAGCCTTGAGGATGGCAGTTGCATGCTGGATAAAGCACAGAGAACTCTGCTGGGGTGGATCAAGTGGCGCAGCAGTGGGAGGGTTGCAGTGCATTGCTTGTTCCAGCCAAGGTGGATAAAGTAAATTTACCGTGTGCTTAGAACAAATCCCGGTATAGAATGAATACTAGGTAAATAATGACTTACTGATTCTTTTAATAAACCACAGGTTGTGCACAACTGGTTCTTAAAACATTGCTGTTTGTACACAGGAACTGGACAAGCAACATAATTTTGATGACTTAAACTTTTGTACATCTTAGGAGTCAGAGTAGAATTGAAATTTGTAAAAATATAAGATCCAGGGAATTGGGGCATTCCCGTAATCCTAAACCAGGTGCCTGTAATCCCAGCACTGTGGGAGAATGAAGCAGGAAAATTCAAAGTTCAAGCCCAACCTGGGCAACTTAGTGACTTAGCAAGACCCTGTCTCAGAAAAAAAGGAGCGGGTGATGTAGCTCAGTGTAAAAGTCCTGGGCTCAATCCCCGGTAGTGGAAAAAAAAAAAAAAAAAAAAGCAAGCAAATAAACAACAACAAAAAGTGTGCATTTTTGCAGTTGGGCTTGGGGATTTGAATTTTAGGTCCATTGGCTATGTGATGTTAGTGAAGACCACATGGAATGGGAGAAGCATTTGCTCCTTTGTAGATCCCTCTGTGTGTCTCAAGCATTTCCTAATTTTAAAAAAGAAAGCAGTGCAGGACCACTCGCTGTGTGTTAGGGAAGCAGCTATACCCAAGCAGCAACCAGGAAGGGGACCACCTCTCTGCACCAGGGTTCAAAAGATACATTTCCCTGCTGGAAAGGAGAATTAATGTACAGCAGGTTTCATGGACCCTGACGTAGCTTTCTGTGGGGAGCAATGTTCTCACTGATGGTTTCCATGGAGAATAGGAACTACACATCCCAAACATGGCGGCCATGGGAGCTGAATCACCAACCATGGCTGAACCTCTATCTGAGCCGTCAGTAGAGGGTGGATAGAAAATGAGCTGCAAGGCTGTTTGAAGCCCAGCCTCAGCATGGTAGCATCCTGAGTGGGGAAGTCTTACTTAGGGCGACAGCAGCATCCCTTCCTTGATTTCCCAGTCTCATGGCTGTTCTAACCTCTCCCGCCTGAGCTCACAGGCTGGATCATAATGCCTGTGTGCATGATCAACTGCTTTCTCGGCGTTGCCAGCGTTACCTGGGCTACAGACCATTTAATGCGGATGCAAACTCCCAGAAGCATAGGCCTCGTTCTGTTCATGACTTGTAGCTCCTAATAGAGATCTCTACACACTGCAATCGGCCAGTGAAGGACTGAAGTGTGGTAGGAAATCTTCCAGCACACTTTATTTGCGTAGATAGACTAGAATAGTGTGGTCAAGTTCCCCCGCCTTTGCCTGCTCTCAAAACACCAAGGTTGTGAACGAACACATTTCCCCTCCTAGTTTTTGCTACGTACGGTGATAGCCGTGATGTCCCAAACCATAGCTCCCCACAGAGCACCTGTCACAGCAGCGCCCAGCCACGTGGAGTTTGCATTGGCACTGGCCTCCCAGGGGGCTGCAGTGGGACCCAACCGCACCCTGGGGGTGGCACTTGCAGGCTGCAGGAAGAAAGTCAGGAGGCAGAGGTGAGGGAGGTGTCCCCTGTAGCTTTAGGTACCTTCTTCATTTGCTGCCTCTCTAATCTTCAACGGCCTGAACTGTTGGCAGGCAGGGATAATGTAGGATTTATTCTGTGGGATTGTGGTACAGATCAAAGGCAGTAATCTTGTGTATTATTTAGAATATTGTGTGGCATGTTGTAAGTGCTCAATAAACATTACTTGAAAAGTTAATGAAAAGCTTAAAATGAATTGTTTTAAACAATGATCTGAAGGCAAATGTTACAACCGATGTTATTCCTTCAGTTCTTGATGTCCTACGAGGCATGATCAAAATATACAGTGAATGCTTAAATTAAAAAAAAATATTACAGTAGGTGACACACGGCCATTAATCCCCCTCAGAGACTCCCCTCATTTAAAACACACTTATGCATGATTCTTGCTACTTTCTGAAGTAGTTCTAGAAGTCCCCTTTCATGACTGTCTTCACAAGATGTCAAAAAATGGGCTGCAGATTTAGCCCAGTGGCACCGCACCTGCCTCTCAAGCGCAAGGTCCTGAGCTCAATCCCCGGTACCAAAAACATTTTAAAAAGATAAAATTTGTTTTGAAATGTCGTAAATGCTGCTGTTGAGTATATCCAACGGAAAGGCAGGCTCATGAAAACGTTGCAGTGTGTCCTATCCCCCTGTTCACCAGGTCTGGCACTGGGAGATTTCTGGCTCTTCCCCAAGGTCAAAATGACAAAGGAAGGTAAATGTTTCAAATCAATTCAGGACGTGGAGGGAGCCATGGCACTGCAACTAAAAGGTAATTACGAAAAAGGCCTTCCAGAACTGCTCCAGAAAGTGGCAAAATGCTGAGATCAGTGTGTTCGCAGTGGAGGGGGAGTATTTTGAGAGGCTTTAATGGCAATGGATCTTTAACTGTAACAAAAGTTTAAAAAGTTAACATCCCCCCCCCAAAAAAAAAATAGGGCCGGGGACTTATCTCAGCGGTTTGGTGGCCTGCCCTGTAAGCGCAAGGACCCGAGTTCAATCCCCGGTACCAAAAAAAAAAAGAAAAAAAAGTTAACATTCATCATAATTTTTTATCACATCTACAAGTTTTTACTTCCCCTGGTCCACTTATTCTGTGAGATGGTGGGAACACTGAATCCACAGCCCTGCCCTAAAGGAGAAAGCATTTGCCAGGACTCTGGAAGCCCAGGCTTATTGTAGTCGCCACTCCTCAGCACTGGTGTGTGTCGGGGGGCAATTCGGCCCCCTAGGGAACATCTGACAAAGTTTGGAGACATTTTTGAGCATCGCAATTAGGGAGGGCGACCCTGGTGTCAAGGGACGGGTAGGGACGTGGATGAACACACACACACACTCACACACACACACACACACACGTTCACAGGCAGCCACCCAGCTCACAGGGTCAGCGGAGCTGAGGCTGAGAAACCCTCTTCGGCTAAGTGAGAGGAACCAGGGACGTAGTGTTTTTGGACTCCAAACCCCTAATTTACTAAATGAAAGTTTGGGGATGAAAGGAATTGGTCAGAGCTCTTTCCAGCCCTAAAACTCAAGGATTTGCAGTGAATATTTAGGACCACGGCTCCGGCAGACCAGCACTGTTTGCATGGAGGGGGATCTCTGATTCTGATCTGATCGCTCTGGGCAGCGTGGGTGGAGGGGTTGGGGTTGCTCCTAGAGCGGGTGCTAAAATCCATCGATTCACTGATGCTCCGAAAGGCCTGCGAGCAGCTCTGGGCCCTAGGGAGATGCTCACCCAGCGCGCCATCGTGCAGCTTGGCCGAGATGCTGGTGACCAGCCGATCACACGCCGCGGGGAGCGCCCGAGGCCCCACTTCCGCGGCGGCTTCAACACAGCTGCTCAGTTGATCCTCCGCCATGGCCTGCTGGCTGCAGGACGCCTCTAAGGAACCGCTTTGGGGAATAAGGCCGAGCTTTTGAAATAACGGGAAAAGAAGACGTATGTTCCAACTGTCCACTGTCCAAGATTCTTGTTATATTAAAGAAACTTAACTCTGAGAATAATGATTCAAAAGAGACTTGGTGCACTCCTTTAAATTGTCCAGGCCTGAAGATTTTACGACGCTCAGTTTAAGAAATCTTCAGCTAGATATTTACATTTAATGAATTATGGCAGAGTTATCTCGTTTGGGGCACCAGGGATCTAACTCAGAACCTTGCATTTGTGAGGCTGGCATGGAGCCACTGAGTTACATCCTGGCCTGGCTTTGTCTTTTTATTGCCATCAACATTATTTTTTACATGCTAATATATTTGTCTTAGATTTGAAAGACTTTAAGTGGTTTACTTGCGGTAAATTAAGAAATTACAGTTTTGACAGAGCTTCACATAGTGGGAAAATAGACTCTGACTCCTTAAAATTCTGCTGTAAGTTTTCCAGTTAGGTGTAAACAGTGGAGTTCTACACCAGCCTATACAATCTTCTGGGAGAGGAACTGGGTAGATTAACACATTAGAGGCTCCCAAAAGTCCCACAAGAAGGACACTTTTTTTTCTTTTTTGTTTTTTTGATACAGTGAGGGTCTGACTATACAGTTCAGTCTGGCCTTGAACTCATGGTGATCCTCCTGCCTCAGCTTCCCAAGTGCTGGGATTATTAGTATCTGCCATCTGCCACCACATCTAGTAAGAAAGATATTTTTAGTATTTATTGAGCTATATTATTTATTGAGTTATTTCCACAGTTATTTAATGACTTGGTCCTATATCCAAACAATATTCACTCACGTTATAAAACCAGTGTTTCACAGATATGCTTTGGGAGCTACTAGCATAGGCCATAGAGCTATTTACAGGGACAAATGCACCATTAGGAGAATTTCTCAACTTTTATGTGTGAAAGCATATTCGGTTCTGTTTCTAAAGAAGAGCCTGTTATGCCTGCTATTATTTTAAATACAGATTAATGATGCTGGGTAATGTGGTAGAGTGTGCTGCTAAAGCACACTGACCACATCCGTTGGTCCTTTTGAACACCTGGTGTTAAAAGCAGCATCAAGGGTGGTTTTCGTCTGCAGCTCAGGTAAGGCGACTGGACCAGTGGCCCCATTACAATCCCAGACCTGCTCTTTGCTTTGTCCATACCAAGACCAGCTTTCCTGGCCCCTAACTTCAGCCATCTCTGGCTTTCCCTAATTGTTCTCTGCCACCCCCTTGGGTGGGCTCTCAGCCCTGGGTGTCCTAACCAAGAGCTGGGCTCTTCGAGGCTCTCTCTTCAGCCCCTCCTCCTGCACACCCACTTCCTAGGTGCAGTTCCGGATCTGTGAGGCTCCTGCTCGTTCCTGGGCACTGCAAACCAAATAGGTCTCGGGCCTGCATCTCTTTCTGCGCTACTCTCGCTAAGCAGTGCCACTGTCTGCCAGGCTCAGTGAAGAAAACAAGGTCATCTTGACCCTTGCTTCTTTGTCACCCACATGGCTCCTCCTGCACCCCCCACACATCGGTCACCATGAGTCTTCTCGATGCCGCCTCTTCAATGTCTCCGGGATGCAGTTACTGCTCTTCATTCCCCTGCCACTTCCCCAGATTACTACAGTGGCCTCCCGATGGATGCCCCAGCTTTCGATCAATTTTCTACCCTTTGGTCCTAGCGATCCTTTTAAATGTGGTTTAGGTCATCCCTTCCTTTAAACTTTTCAGTGTCTTTCCACCACCACTGGATAAAACCTAAATTTCATCTCTTCGTACTGTTACCCTCACTCCCATCCTCTCTGCCCCATGGTTCTCAAAAAGGGAGGCACTCCATACCCGCCGGGAGCTTTCTGGAAACTCCCTGGAGTACTTTTAGAGGCCACAGCGACTGGGTGTGGTGTGTGACTGGCATTCAGTGGACGGGGGTCAGAAGTACTAGACATGCTTGTAAAACAGAAAATGACTTCATGCCCCCTGCAGGCATTGAATGTTCCGGTGAACATCTATGGAGAACGCCCTGTCTGTAACTGTCTGGACTGAGAGACCAAGTCCGTGGTTTCTAAACATGCCAACGTGTTTCCAACACACTTGCCCATCGTGTCTCATGTCTGTGATTCTATGCTAAGAATGTCAGAAAATTCCTGTAATAAAAAAGGGAATGCTATAGTCTGGGTCTTTGTGTCCCCCTGGGCCCAGGCTTATTCTCTGGAGTAGCACTACTGAGAGGTGGTGGGAACGCGAAGAGGTGAGGCCTCGTAGGAGGTTTTCTAGTCCTGGGGATGGATCCTCAAAGTGGGTAGCGGGACCCCAGCCCCTCCCTTGCCCTGTCTTTTGTCCTGGTCACGACGTGAGCAGCTGTGCTCCACCACGGCTCCCTGCTGTGAGGTGCTGCCTTGCCACAGGCTCAAAAGCAATGGGCCCAACTGACCATGGAGTGAAACCTGCACAGATGTGAGCCCAAATACTTCTTTCTTCTTTATGAGTAGATTATCTCAGGCATTTTGTTATAGTAGCAGAAAGCTAACAGCAGAAGGTTGGGTCAGATGAGGTAAAGGACTACTACATACCACGTTTTCTTCAGGGCACTGCCTTGCTATAATTCTGAACTCCTCTCGCCCCATGCTGTTGCTGCCTGCTGATTGCGTGTCCACTGGAGACGGGAGCCTCGGGTGGCAGGGAGGTAGATATTTCATTCATGCCTCTTCCTACCCCTGGGTCTAATTCGTACTAACTGCTTCACAAAACGCTCTTCCTTAAAGAAGTCCATTTACATTTCTTAATATATCTTCTAAATTATATATATATGCTAAAATGTCCCTGTCTTCTCCAAACACAAATCAGGTGGAAAGAGATGCAGAAGACAGCTAGATGGTATAGGAGGGGGGATAAGGGAGCTGACCAGAGATGAGTGACAGCTCAGGTCTGAGCTGGTATAGACTTGGTCATTCTTGCAACTGGGTAGATGGACCAGCTGGCAAGAGATCATGTAAGCTATAGGATTTTGTAGTTGTGTGACTCAGTCCTTCCAGAAACGTCTAAAGACTTTGTGCTCCCAAAGAGTAGTCCATTTCAGGGTTTGGAAAGGAGAATGGCAGTTTTATAGTCTAGAATGCCTAATATACTTTTGAATCTAAACACAGTTTCATGGAGGCAAATGCGGAATCTGGGCATCTGAAAATGAATTTTGAGGGTCTCACTATATTCGCTAAACAAATGGCACTTGTGCCAAGGAGCACCCAGGGCTGAACAGAAACTTTACTTGGTCTTCTTGATATTAGATGGACTTTGATGCAGAAAATAATCTGGCTGAGAAGAATGAATTTTGAAATGGCCAAGTCTCAGAGAGTTAAGTATCCTCCCGGAGCAGCAAAATTGTTAGTGTGGCCTTAAATGCATTAATCTGTAGTAATACAATATAAATTATTCCCACGGGGCTACTGGGGACACCTTTGGTACCCAGCCTGCATCCTCTTTGGCCCCACCTTCCCGCTGTGGTGGCACTAGCTCCTAAAGGCTCACAGCTGTCTTCTCCACAAAAGAGCACTCAGCCACCATGTCTGGGACACGTGCTCACGGGGGCTGGTGGCAGTGGTGGTGTGCCAGTCACCAAGGATTCAGTTCTAGGATGCAGTTCACGTCCTGGAGCCCCTGTGGGAATGGACCAGAGCTTCAGTGGGACCACACCTTTGCTCTATTCCTTGCTCCATTTTCTTATTTCCCTGTTCCCCTTTCCCCAGGGATGTACCTGCTACAAATCACATGCACCTGGGGCCGGTCTCGGCTTCAGCTCTCGGGGGGATGGCCTAAAACATGGGTCCAGGTCTGCTTCTGAGGTTTCTGACAGTTTTCAAAGATGAGGGTGTTCTCTTGATTTCATTCACATTTCAGAGTATGGCCATATCTAAGAGAATGAGAGCTTGCAAATGGGTAAAATGGACGTATTTTAAAATTACTTTCAAATTGTTCACTTATTTGAAAAAATTTATTCATTTATTTGAATAATTTGAAAGTAAGCACCACTATCAAGCACCACAGCAATAATTTCATTTACATGTCTGTCTTCTGTATTGAAGAGAATTCTTTGAGGTTGAGAACCATATTCCATGTCCCAAAGCCAGCACAACACCTGATGTGGTTACATTCAGTACAGAGAGAATTTGAATCAATGCATTCAAAATAGCATCAAGTGATCATCTTTGGAATTTTCAAAATTTAAAGCATAGAAAAAATGATATGGAGTATCTTGGCTCTTATTACATGAGTTTCATGATTATCCTTCTGCATCCCTTAATGATCTAGAATTTCATTAGGCTTTTCCTTTCCCTTTATTTCCACTCCCTGGAGCATAAGTTTTAGCATTTTTGTCCCTGAATTAAATCTGTTCGATTTGGTTTTCTTCCTTTTCTTACTCATAGGCTGGTTCATAAGCACAGTTCTATTTACAGCTTCTCAGCGAAGGTGAATTCTAAGCAAGGGAAAGCATGACAGTTTATCGTTCTCACTTAAATTCATTTCTACTTTCCGTTTCCATCAGAGTATGGTGGACTCTTACCTCACTAGGGCATGGTCTCCAGGCGATATCACCAAATTAAAGCTGAATTCTGGGGGAAATGATGAGGCATTTTTCATCTAAGTATGTCTCACGCAGTACTTGAGGAAAATGTTTAGGACATAGTCACTAAAACTTATTCATTGTTCTTGTGAAATTAAAATTCCATGGCTAGCTCTCTCCTTCCCTTCCCTTCCTTCCATCTCCTTTACTTCTCTTCCTTTCCCTTCCCTTCCCTTGCCTTCTGCTTCACAAATATTCATAAATGCAATTTTAACAGAGATTTGATTTCTATCCACAAAATTACGTCAAAAAATTCCATGTGATTCTATAAAAATCTGCTGAAAGGGGATGAAACCAGTACTCTATTACTGAGAATCCTGAAAATTAATTGGAGAATACCTTCCAGAAAAGAATTTGAAAAATTGCTTCAAAAGCCATAAGACCTTGGTTAAAGTAGGAATATACTTAAAAACATTTAAAGTATGCATAAAAATAGAAGCTATTTACACAACTGAGAATAGAATGTCTTAGTCACTTTCCCATCGCTAGGACAAAATGCCTGATACCCACAATTTAGAAGAAGAGAGAGTTTTATTTGGGCTCACAGTTTTAGTCCTTGGTTAGCTGACTCTAAGGCAGAGACAGAATTACAGAAGCTTGGTGAAGCAAAAGGGCTCAATCGTGGCATCAGGAAGCAGAGAGAGAAAGGAGGAGCCAGGGAAGGAGATACATCTTTCCAGATCTTGCTCCTAGCAACCCACCTCTTCCAACCACGGACTAGGACCCAACGGTACACCCACCGATGCATGGAGAGATCTCCACGGTCCAGTTACCTTCCACAAGCCCTGCCTCATGCCAAAAGGGGGACAATCTAGATCTAAACCATAACAGAGGGCAGTGCATTAAAATAAATAAATGTGCTCAGTGCCCAAACTCTGCACAGTGGAAAGCCTGCAGGGAGTAAGCCTGACAGTAAGATGTGGGAGATGGATGCTAAAAGAAGTCACTCAGAATATTATGTGTGGTCCCTAAAAATGTTAAGAAGGCTACAGAAGTACCATCAGAAACTGCTTATGAGGCAACAGGGAGCTGAAAAATCTATGCACATAATTGTGTGAGGACTCTCATCACGAATGGTCTAAAAGCATAGCGTGCACAAGATGGGAATCATATACTGGTGAGAACTGAAGTGGTGGGATTTCTTCTCCAAACTGCATGCTGTACTGGCTCATATATCTGGACCAGGCATTGCAGTTCCCATTCCTGACTCCTCACTGACTAGCTGTGTGACCCCGTGCCTCAGTTTCTCCATTTGTGAAATAATGCTAACAGTTACCTCACAGGGCTGTGGTGAGAATTAAATAATGACATGTAAGGCACTTGATTACTGAGACATACAGTCCTGTACAATGTGCAGTGGCTATTAGGTGACTTTCATGCTTCAATAGGTACATTTATATTTTTCAAAAGACGTCAGAGCCAGCAGGTAGATTATAATGGAGCCCAGTTGGGAAGAAAGCACCCACAAGCCAAGATACTTACAGAATCCACCAGGATATGGGAGTGAGTGTGGAACTTTCCTTCCAGAGACTGAGAAAAATAGACATCGATGGAATACCGCATGCCTGGCTCTAAGCAGACAGGTGTGGGAAGCAGCGCGACTCTGTGTTGAGGGAGATAGCAAAACGCCCCCGATAAAAGTACATTTATATCACCTAGGTAACCACAGTATTTGGTAGCATTCTACTTGTGCTGGAAAGGGGCTCCACCATGGGGCTAAGACAAGGTCCATGTCACACCAGCACCGGTGGGTTGGTGGGACAGTAAATTCACACTTAGATCCTGTTCAGTTCGTCCCCAGGACTGTGGCACACAGCAAAGTCTCAGGAACTATTTGCTGTGGGTTGACCTAACCTCCCTGGAGAGAGTCTGGGTCAGATTTCCTTCATATCTATCATGCCAAGAGGGTCTCTGTTTAATTTTGCCACAATCTTTGATAAGACAAAATCAGTGGCTTAAAAATTAGTTTTCCTAGTGGCTCTCAGTTGAGGGTACTCAACTGAGTATTTCACTCTTAATTCTTGTAGCACTTCACTTGGTCACATTTCCAAACCCTCCAGGCAATGGATAAGGAACATTCAAGTTTAGGTTCAGGAAGCAGGGCTAGGACCCTGGTTCTGCTATACACTGGAGCTGAGACTTGGACAATTTGAGTATTCTTCATCTCAATTTCCTCTTCATCAGATGAAGGTACAATCTACCTCAGTGAATAGCTGAGGGTTAAATGTAATATTAAATACAAAGTACAGTATAACACACAGAAATTGTGTGCTAAGCAGGATAATCTCCTCCAGAACCACTCTTCTCCCATGTAGTTCCAGGCACACATTATTACTGATATAGGAACCACATTCTAACGTGCCTTCAGTGTTGGAGATTGGGTTCCACACATACCTGGCACCTGCTGGTAAGGCAAAGGTTAGAGGCTTGGGCCATGGAGTCTTGTGTGCGCAGGAGCAGCTCCCTCCTGGGGGCGTGACCACCACCCGGACAGCCCAGTCAGCTGCAGACTAGACAGGCACGACATCAAAGCAGATCACCATGAGAAAGCAGCAAGGCTTTTTGTGCACAGACTTGTATGCCTAATGGACAGTGTGTGGAACTGAATTTGCAACCCACATCCCACTTGGAAAATTGAGTTTTGGAGCTGGAAGACGTCTGAGTGGCTCACTCGCCCAGCTCTCTGGTGTCTGTACTGTGATCCAAACAGAAAGAACACTGGTCCCTGCTACAGGCTCATGGGCCTGGAAGAAAACCTAACCTTCTGGACAGGTCTACTTTTTAAGTCCTGTCTTGAAATGATTTAATTCAGTAGGGCGCTGGATCAAAGAACAAAGAAAATTTGAAAACCTTCACAAAAGACTATATGTAAAAGAGGGAGAGAGAGAGAGAGAGGTATGTGTGTGTGAGAAATATAACTAGCTGTATTTTGGAAGCCTCACAATTTGGAAAATTTCTTAAAGTTGTCAGACATATATTCTATGAATAAAGACAAATATTTCTTTTTTTGTACTGGTTTTCACCAGATCGATGATCATTGGCGTTCTCGGTTTTCCTTTGTAAGTGAAAAGTGGAGAATTACGTGCTATCAAGAGTTTCAAAGTGGGCAGCAGCAATGCAAAGTGGGTGAGTAATGCAAAGTGGTCCTGTGACGCGCAGCGAGCACTTCCATAATGGGGCCCCCAGAGGGGCCCGGGAGCCGCTACAACCACGCCCCCCTCCCCCCACGTACAAGTTTTCAAGGGAAATGGTGGGTTTCAGATTACTGGAGAAAAGGTTAGAAACTACTGCTCTGGATCAAGTATTTTTCTAACTTTGGTTTCTGATTACCATTCTGCTTCAGCTATTTCTCAAGGGCTTTAGGGGTGGGTAGCCTGTAGAAGGGGGCGGAAGGGGCCGTGTGCTTTTAGTCTCTTGTTGCAGGCCTAGGTCTAAATGCAAATAAATGCTTCTGCTGCGTTCCCTCTAAGTCTGAGTCTCTACACGGGTGTTTGATTTACTAAAGTTTTAGAGAAAAGGTCTCAGGAGGGTAGGATTTGTGTTACTTTAGTTGTTCGTACACAAGCACGCATTCACCACCTCTTCAAACTGGTCCTTCACACGTGTAACTCCAACTGCAGCTTCACCGCATGGACAGCAGAGCAGACAGCTCACGGTGTCGCTTCACTACGTGTAGGGAGTCCCCTTAATGACTGTGCTCTCCAGTTGTCCTACTTCTGTGCATCATTTATGAAGTCCCTAGTCTAGCAGGGCTGCAATGGAAAAGGCTGAGAACGTATTTCTCTGTTTCCCGCCGTCATAAAGCGGGAGTTAAGGGTACCTGAGTTTCGTAGCGGACGGAGACGGTGAAATCCGTGGGAAAAGGAATGTTGTCGACAGCAAATCTCAAGCCGGCCCCAGGGAGAACCTTGGCAAATCCAGATCCGGTCCATGAAACTGGCTTCCCAGGAACAGGGTCTCGGAAAACAATGTGAACCCGCGGCACCTGGCCAAGAGTCACCAAGGGGAATGTAAATATCTTTCCCTGTAGTCAAGGCCTGGAAAGTTCAGAGGCGAAAGAATTTGCGGGTGTGTACATGGTCCATCTATGACATGGGTAAATTATTCCAACCAGGACACAGTCCAGAGTGCAGCTGAGAATAAGTGTGGAGGCTGCAGCTCTGAAGCACATGTCACTTCACAGCGCAACTGGCTTAAAAGCAGTGTCAGTGGAAGCCACTTTCATTGTAAGTATCCTATGTGCTAATGAACCGAGCAAATTCTGTATCGACGATCTTGGTTTTTCTCAGATATAATTGTGGAGTTCTGGCAAAACTGTGGAGGAAAAAGATTCTCCCCCATCCACTTTAGAGATTTTGTCTAATTGTGCACGACACTGAGAAAACCCATATGAATTTTTTTCTCTAGACATTTCTTCCAAAAAACATGAGAAACGCTCTTCTATCTTCTCGAGGGCGTATAAGTACACGACTCGCCATGCACTTGATTGGTCAGAATCCCCGCAGGTCCCTACAGTGGCTGTCAGCCCGAGGCCATCTGGCTCTGTAGATAGTATGGTTTAATTACTTTTGCACCTGCCTCTCCACATTCCCAGGCTCTACTCAAACTCTGCCTCGTGTTTCTTTTAACCTATGTTGTTGCTGCAATGGCTCTTGGCGATTCTCCTCTCTCTCTCTTTTATCTCTCTCTCTCCCTCCCTCTCTCTCTCTCTGGTTCGATACACATTACACACCGCTGCCAAGAAAGCATTTCCAACTCTTCCAAACTGCCAACAGAATAATGCTCCAAGTATTTAGTCCGGAGTTCAATCTGAGATCGTCCCCAAACGCCCTTCATTTGATAAATGTTTGCGTACTAACAATTTACTGGCAGCCCCGGAGTGTGTAATGCAAAGATGAACAGACTGAGCCTGGGCCACAGGGGAGGTCAGAGTCTTGCACTACTGGGGACAGAAATATCAATAAAAACTGTGCCACCAGGTTAGGTTCTAATAGACGGAGGTGCACATAGACTCGCCCCATGTAATGCTTCCCAAACCTTTAAAAACTACCCTAGCAGAGTCAAAGACCCTGCAGGTGCACCCTTGATGCCCTGTGCCCACTGGTACACCCACTGCCCAGTCACTACTCATAGCTCACAGCTGCCCCTCACTCTGGAGGCTCAGTTGCCAATGAGGACCCTGGTGTGTAGCGCTATGGAAGGTCTCTGGCAGGAAGAAGGGTACAGGGATCTGGGACAGGATAAAAGGGAGGGGAGCTCTGACTTGAGCAGAATTTGTGGAATTAAGAGACATGGGAGACACAGTAACTAGACAGGATGTGGAAAGGGTGGCTGTTGTTGAACACCTACGATGAGGGAAACTGACACGCCCAGAACATTCAATCTCCAGTATAAAGCAACATACTGGTGAGGATCAGAGGGTCTTCTTGGGGGCGTATTTAAGAGACTCGTTTTTAGCTGGAAGGCAGGAAGAACTGGTGACCTGTCCAAAGACATAATCACTGAATGTCAGAGAAGGCTGAATTCTCAGGCTAGGTAAGTTCCCCATGCTAAAGTCATGGGAGAGGCAGGACCTAGAGACATGGGCTGTTACACACAAGAACTTGAACCCTCAGGCTCTCCTCGGAGCTCTTAGGAGGAACCCCCCACCCTTATTGAAAGATAGAGCCTCACTACTCCACCCCCGCACACCTGTGACAATGCAGAAACCGCCAGGACACACGTCTTCCTCAGGATCTGCCTGTCCCCTGACTGCCAACATGATGATTAGGGTCAAGTCTCTGCAAGCTTGGAGAAGGAAACTACTGGATCTTTGGAAGAGGTATTATAACCAAGGGAGCTTCAGGCCCTGGCTGACATGGACCATGAGCAACTGGAGAGACGGGCTGAACATGGACCTGAATATTGATCAGAAGCAGAATAGGAAGCTGGATGAGGCAGAGTTTGTTGATTGGAAGTCGCCTGGGACCTAGGATTTAACAGCCTGGCAAGGGCCCTGGGAGATGGATATGTCACTGGAGTAGCTACTGAAAGCTTAGCAAAAGCTGTGGGCCAGAACAAATGCAGCAGAGATGCCAGAACTGCTGTAGCAGACTATGGAGAAAGTTATACAAGACTCAAAGAAGTAGGCATGCCAGATTGGATCTAAGATGCAAGACTGGAAAACCCACCAGCTAACTATATTCCTGACGGGGAGCCAGAAGACTCCGTTTATCAAAACAGTAAAGCATGAACGAGCCAGGGGCACACCAGTGTCTTAGAGACGCTGCAGATGAACTCTTCTTTGTGGACTCGTAAGGTGAGTTCTTTGTTAACAATGTGCCTGACAGGATCCTAGACTATCAGGGGCTGGATGGTAACGCTTAACCTTCAAAAGCACGATGGTATAATTAGAACAGGCAGCAAGGCTGCAATGGAAGATAAGGGAGCCTGACTCACAGGAATCTTCAGTGGAGATGAAATAACAGAACGTAGGGCTCCTAGGAGCAAGACAGATGAACAGTCAAGAAGTATTATTTAATATATATAACTGAAAGGGAGCAAGTATAAATCAGTAAAAGTCTGAAGTCAGCTATGCCCGTGGAAAGACACAGTTCTCTGCCAAGTTTCTGGACCTGATTCACTTCTCAGTCCCAGAAGCCACTGACTAAATAAGGGGCCAGGTTCTCATGAGGAAGGATTCTTCAACACCATGGCAAGTGTGATTCTCTTACTTATTTCTCAAAGAAATCTATGGTTATTTACTAGAGTAACTGACTATTGGGAAGGGAATATGCCCGTACCTTTCAGTGCTGGTAGACAGAGGATCTGAGCTGATGCTGATAACCACATGCTCAAAATATCATCGCAGTTCTCTGGTTAGAGTAGGGGAAGATGTGGGTCACTTAATAAACGGTAACCAGGGCACACCTCTGAGGGATGAGATTCCGAGCCATCTCACCCAGAAGTACTATCTGTGGTGAGGGAGCCTAGAATGTGTGGAGAAAAGGGAAAGAGACATTGGTAGCAGAGATATCCCAGATGCAGGAGCTAGAAGCTATGGTTTGTTCCACGAATCTCCTCTTGCAAAATTCCCAAGGAATTGGGACGAGTCTGAATTCTGGAGGACCTGTGCCTCTGTGGAATACACTTAATGTGAGAAGCAAAGGGGCAGGGCCAGCTCTCTGTCACACATCCTGCGTAGCTGCACAGAGCCCCACACTGAGAAGGGCCTCATACTTGGTTTAACACTTTACAGTCACTACCCGGAAATGATAATTTTTATCTTCGAAGTAGTTTTCTAGTGAAATTTCTTGGGACAGTGGAGCAGGCACAGGCTCAGAAGAGAGCTGAGTGACAAGCATGTCTGCTTCCTTGTTGCTCCACTTGCATGTGATATAGATGGTGACGCTAGGCACGGAACTCCAGTGGACCGACTTGGCATGGGAATTCAATGAGACTCAAGTTAGGTACAAGGTAAGTGGGTTACGTCTCTGACTAAGCGAAGGTGCTGTTAGCTCCAGGAGGCCCAGCTTTCCGTCTGAGCCAGAGTTTGCTTTGAATGAAGAATGAAGCCAAGGCAACCTAAGAAAGAAACGCAAACAACCGAGGAACCCATCATAACCTTCTTCTTGTTATTGCCCAGGATGAGCCGGTTACTTCCACTGGAAGTGACGACCGGCAGGAAAGAGGAATTAGCAATCCATGTTTCCTTTCCTTCCAGTCCTTCCTTCCTCCCAGCAGGCTGAAGGTCCAGAGTGCTGTGGAACACACAGCAAGAAGTGGAACACAGTCAGTCAGGTCCATTTTTCCCCCTGCTGTTCTGGGCAGAATGAAATACATATGTATGTATGACTACAAATTGGCTAATTTTGTAATTGCAGGTAAAACTGCATTGCATGATACAAAGATGAGTGGTATAATTCACACTAATAATTTAAAAGTTTAATGTGTCTTAGAATGACATTGACTAGCATATAAAAACACTATGACGACTTGAAAGAAAGGCCATGAAAGAAAGGAAAAAGCTTTGTATCTGAGAACTTCCTCTCCGTTGAGCAAGAGGCCCCGCATGTGATCCGAGCAGCCCCCAATGGGCTTTAGTGGCTGCTGCTGGCATGCGGCCACGTCCCGTTCCTAGGCTGCCACAGTCCTCTGCCAGCTCCTGTGTGGGTCACAGCTGCCCCCTTCCCTTGAGACGCATCCTTGGCTGATGGGAGGTGCCGCACCTGAGAGGTTCCCGTCACAGCCACGCCCGGCTGATGTGGGAATATGACGGCAGGCCTGAGCGAGGAGACAACCCTGCTGTGTGGCCTGTGCTTCCCTGGGGCATCAGGCCAAGGCCAGACTTCTCTCAGACCCCAACCCTGCCTCACTTTCCCTCTCCCGCTCACTTCCCTCATCACACAGATTATTGATGAAAAGTCTCTCATTAAAACACAGAGACCTGAACTGATGTGTTCTCCACTTCCAGATAATCCAACCTAAGACAATGTCACAGACACACACACACACACCGGAAATAACATTTTCGCAAAAAAGTATTAAGACCTTATGTATTCTTCAATTGTTCTCAACCAACCCATGCAATGGACTCCATGACCTGTTTACTAACAGGCACGATCGGCAGCTTGGAACAGACTGACGAATGGGGCCCCAGGGGTGGAAGAAATTAATTATGTCCAGATGTCAGGGAACATTAGAGAAAGAGAAATCAGAAGGGGCAGTTCAGAAGGGATGAGCAGAAGTTTTCCAAAGTAGTAACAGAAGTGGCCATGTCAGGCAAGCGTCAGGAGGCGCGGAGGAGTGGGGTTTCTCAGAGCGCCGTCATCCATGGCATTAACTAAGCGTGGAGAAGGCTGCTCCTCAGGTCTGCCTCACTCAAGTGACAAGTGCCAGGTCACAGTGCCTGACTCTGTGACTCTCCACACACCAGCGTTCTAGAACTCATTGTTTTAAAGAGGAGTAATGCTTTGAAGTCTCCCCAAAAGGCTGTAATTTTTTCCTGCCTGGTTCTTTCTTTCTTCTGTTTCCATTCATGAGGGTAATAAAAGCTTACACTGACTGGACACTCACCAGGGCCAGGCCTATTTCTGCGTGCATGATCATATTTTTCATTTACAGCCTGTGACGATGGCTGTGAATAAATGCCTTACCTCATTCTGCTCGTCAGCATGAATGCTTTGCCTCTGATCTTTCTCCAGTACTATATTTCCTTTATCAATTCTGAAATAATTCCCTTCTTGCTGGAAATATACATCACACGTTGGCAAAACTGTTGCTAATATCTTGAAAAGAAAAGAAGTGACAGTTTAGCTAACTCTCAAAGGTATCAGTCATACCCTAGTTTAAGAGTTTCAAATTAAATCAAAATTAAAAAGATAATCATGAGTCTCATTGAATTGCCCCAAGAAGCAGTAATGCAGGGCATTTATAATTTTTTTGGTTTGTTTCTCTGTGAAAAAGTGGAAACTCTTGATGGTCCTACGGCCAAATTTTGAGTTTTCCTTTAAAAGATACTATGCTGGCAAAAGCCTAAACTGAGAAAATATTCAATTATGAGCTTGGTTTTGTTAAAAATGATACCAGTGCTATGTTTCAATGTGAAATCTCAAGGAGAAAGGTGGAGAAAATCATCAATAGGCATGCTATAGAGATTCAAAGAATTCTTAGGTATTACTATTCTGACACTACAGCAGATTGCTCTTAGTTCCTATAGTTCGTAGACTTTGGTTTCCAAATGTACTATATAAAGGTAGTCAAATTCCACCAAACTAAAGGAGAAAAATCACATGTATGCAGCTCCAGTGTCCTTAAAGCCCTAGCTTTTTCTAGGCTTCTCTTTTTCATCATTCTCTTGGCTGTTCAGCCACCAAACCAGTTAAAATCTCCAAAGGCTCCATCCACATTTGCAAATGCTCACTACACCCGGCGTGTGCTTGGCTGATTCCACTGTTGGTTTAACAAACAAGAGTTTGACTGTCACAGGTTCCCTGGTTGCTCACCATGAGCTTGCAGTGCTCTGGTCTGCTATGACCGCATCAGGGATCCTGTTTACTCCCTAGTGCACTGTTCAGACAATATTAAAACAGTTATCCATAGGACACAAGCTTGGGTTTCCATCCATTTATATTTCCGTCTTCGCTCTTTCTCATCGCTGTTACCTCTCAGAGCCATTTCTGTGTCCACTTAAACTACTGCAGACCAATTTGCTTCCCCCTCTGCCTTCTTTCCTGCTAGGTTAAGTTTGCAAGAACACTAAAGACATTCTTCCTCCCATCATTTTCTTGCTCAAAAAGAGCAAGAAAAAGAGTTCTCATTGTGCAAAGAATAAAATTTAGCCTCCTTAGTAGGAGACTGTAATTTTATTTTCCAATACTTTTTCCCTCTTTTAATGCCCTACCCCAATTGTGAACACACCTGTATCATTCCTCCTCTAGGAAGATATTTACCTTTTTCTCTGGTCAGACCGTCTTTCAGCAATGCCACAACCGAGACCCACGGGTTTTCAAGTCTCATCTGGCCCCATCCTGGGCTCTGTATATAAAGGTATCAGCTAGAGCAAGAATTGCTGGGGCCCGAGACCCTAATAGCCCTTTCGTACCCTGATGCTGAGCTTAGCATTGTGCATGTTGCTGAGCAACACTGTGATAAGTTAAGGGCAATTTAGTAAGGGGACTTGGTTTAAACCAGGTTTCCAGCCTCTGCTGCCTGTGTCACTTTGGCCAAGTTACTTAGTTCTCTAATGTTTTGCCTCTTCTGGAAATCAGGGATGATGAAGCTTATGGCTGCTTGGAGGTTAAATGAAATATATATTGTGAAGTACAGAGCAATAAATTAACAGAACTTTTTTTTTTTTTTTTTTTTTTTTTTTTTTTTTTTT